TATTTTGCATGTTGGAACTTCTGGTTTTTTTCAGTTTGCTTTTTTGAAAACCTAGGAATTTATGCACAATACATTACTTTTAAGGAACATTAAGTTTGCAAAGTTGAGCTGTAAAAAATAAGGAAATGGCAGAATTAAAAAGAACAGGAGTACTTGTGGCACCTTAGAGACTAACAAATTTATTAGGTGCCACAAGTACTCCTGTTCTTTTTGCGGATACAGACTAACACGGCTGCTACTCTGAAACCTGGCAGAATTAAAGTTGTCTTTGCAATTCTAGTTTGGCCCACTTGTATGTATGCAGTAAGATATAGTCTTTCATTACATGATAACATGCTATTTTCTCCACAGAATAGACAGTGCTCTGAATCAGGGTTGTGGAGTGAAGGAGGCATTTGTCTGTAGGACCCAAGCCTCATTTGTTGCAGAAACGGTGAAGTGTGCAGCATATGAGGCAGGAGATTGCAGAAAGAGAAAGGAGGGTCTCTTGTCAAGGCAGCTGAATGCTGCCCTGTGGAATTGGATTCTATCCCTGTGTCTGCAACAGAGTTCCTATGTGACGCTTGGCAAGTCACTGAAACCAACTGTTTCACAGGTGCTCATTAATTGTGTGTTTCCCATTTTATGGGTGGCCCACTTGAGACCATGAGGTTCTGATTTGAAGAAGTGCTGAGCATGCGCTGCTGTAAACTGAAGTCAGTGGGAGCTGTGCTGCACAAGCCGAAGTATTCTCAAAAGCCAGGACGGGCACCCAAAATCAGTGGACGCTTTTGATAATTTTGGCCATAGTGTCTCTGGGCTTTGGTTCTCTATGTGTAAAATGGAGATAATTACACTTCCCTGCCTCCCAGGTGTTGTCAGCTGTTGGCTGTGCATGTTTTCTCTGTGTGTGTGTTTTCAGCTGTGCGCAGATAGTTGATGCATCAGGTCTCGATCAAACTGCCCAAGAAGACCACAGACTCGGTTCAGTGGCGAAGGCGCTCGTTCAGGTTTATTGCTGACAAAGCACGGTACTAGCTCCCTGGATCAATGTCTACAGATACACTGGCACCTCTATGCCCCTTACAATGGACTTGACTCAGTGAGTGGTGAGACTTTCCACTCCCCCCCCCCCCGAGGCCAGAAAAAGACACCCCCTCTGTGACCTGTCTTCTATACTCTGATACAAACAAGTTACGCATTGCCCCTCTGATGTGGTTAATTACCACCCTTTCCCTTGTCCATGTTGGTTTGATCAAAACATCTCTATCCATCACCCTGTCATCCTGACCTTACCGTTAGGATGGGTCAGTGTGTCCCTGTATCACCTTTGGGGAGTGTCTTTACACCATAACCCTGTATCAGGGTATTCTGGTACCACCCTTCTGGAATGTGTTAATGCAAGTGCCAGTGCCTTGCACTTCTCATGTGCATTTGTGTTTTTGCAACACCAACCATGCTTTTGCCAGGTTCATGTTCTGGACAATGAACCTGCAAGCATAGTGACAAAACGGACTCATGATGGTTTCACAGGCAAGTACAAGTCTGGCATTCTGAATATTTGAGTGCTTCACTTTGCAAACTTTAACTTTCTTTTTGATTCATAGCTGTATAGATTTTAGAGCAAGAAGGGACCTTTAGGTTATCTAGCCTGACATCCTGGGTAAGAAAGCTATAGAATTTAAACTGATTACTCCTGTACTTCATCTGAACTTGTGTTGGCTAAAGCATATCTTCCAGAAAGGCATCCAATTTTGTTCTGAATCCTTCAGGAGGTGGAGAATCTTCTGCTTCCCTTTGTAGTTTGTTCCAATGTTTCATCAGTATTACTGTGAAAAATGTATTCCTTACCTCTAATAGGAATTTATCTAGCTTTAACTTCCACGCGTTTGTTCTTGTTATGCCTTTCTCCACTAGATTAAGAAAGCCTTTAGTATGCAGCATTTTGTCCATGTGAAAGTATCTACACACTGCAGTCAAGTCACGTCTAGGTCACCTTTTTGATAAGCTAAACAGATTGATCTCCTTAAATCTCTCACTGCAGGACACATTTTCAAGCCCTGGAATCATCTTTGTGGATATTCTCTGCGCCCTGTCCAATTTTTTAACATCCTTCTTACAATGTGGATGCTAAAAGCAGATGCAGGATCTGTCTTCCCAGTGCTGTACACAGAGGAAAAATCACCTCCCTACTCGAGCTGGTTGGAAATTATCTGGCAAACCAGAGTTTCACTGGAAAATGCCAGTTTGTTGAACTCAACATTTATCATGAAAGTGAATTGGGTTCAACAAACTTTCTTGAAACCATAAGCAGGGTCTGGTGGAAATGTCCATGGTTCCCTGCCAGGCTCCCTGGTGGCTTCTGTTAGTCCTGCCATGCAGATTGTCCCGGGGCTGGGTACCCCAGTCTTCTAGGATCTGCAGCTCTCGGGCAGCCCCACCATACAGATTGCCCCAGAATTGGAGACCCTGGGATTTCTAAGGTCTGTACCTCCAGGGCAGCCCTGCCAATGCTATCAGGCTCTCTGCCATGGGATAGGAACCTGGAAGCCCTGGGAGCCCCAGCTCTAACCAAGGCTCAGCTCCAGGGTCTGCATCAGGGATCCTGGAAGTCCTGGGATGGGTTCTGGTGTCCCAGGGTCTGTGGTTCTGGGGCAGCTCTGCCTTGCAGAATGTCCCGGACTAGGCTATTTGCCTATTTAGGCTGCCAACTGGCCAAGGAGTCTGGAAGCCCAAGGGTCCCCAGTCCAGGGCAGGCCACATGATGAGGCTGCCCCAGAGCCCCAGCAGTGGCTGTGAGAAATTGACATGCTTGTCCTGATGCTAACAGTGGTGAAACTGACAAGAAAGTCAGTGTCACTCCGCATCTGTTGGGGTTCCTGGGAGCATATTTTATGTTGGATCCACCATGGACTGGAGTTTCCAAAACAAAATTTTAGCCGGATTTCCAATTCACAGGACATTTTAAAATAGTGAAATTTCCTGTACACTGAAAATCCCGCATTTCAGCCAGCTGTACTCATTGCTCCCCTATTTATACATCCAAGGATCACCTTAGCTATTTTTGCAGCAGCATCACACTGGGAGCTCACATTCAGTTCTTTGTCTATTATGACCCCTGCATAGAACATGGGCTATATCTGTATTTCTGTGAATATTATGTGTACCTCAGTCCCTTTTACTGCCATTTTCACATTTCCTACCAGGGTTCAAAGGGTAACCCCCGTCTCAGCTCCCCACATGTTGCAGGATGGCAGACAATGGTTTCATAGAACCCAGTTACTGGTACTTAACTGACAAGACAGGTGTCAGGGCTTTTGATCTTTTGCATCTGGCCAAGCTGAGCACAAGCCCCCTTCCTTGGGATGGGCCCCTGAGGTGGGAAATCTTAAACAGAGAGCTTGGGAATTGTTAACAGGGGAGCCCTGATGAACAGAGGGGATGAGGCAGGGTCTGCAGGGAAGGAGACTGTAACATAATCCCCAGAAGCAGGGGTTCCTGGGATAAGCTGAGGCAGCCCAGGTTTTGAGGGAAATACTGAGGTTTAGGTGAGACATAGGCCTGTAGGCCTTCACTTGCTTTATTCTTTTCTCTGTGATTGCTGTGTTCCTATGGATAAATACAAAATAACACTGTCCTGGGTCTGGTACTATTCAATATTTTCGTAAATGACTTGGGTGATGGAGTAGAGATACACTTACATAATTTGTGGATGACATGAAGCTGAGAGGGGTCACAAGCTCTTTGGAAGGCAGGGTTAAAATTCAAAATGATCTTGGTAAACTCGAGAATTGGTCTGAAATCAGTAAATTGAAATTCAGTAAAGACAAGTGAAAAGCATTAGACTTAGGAAGGAAAAATCAAATGCAAAAAAAAAAAAGGGAAATAACTTACTAGGCAGCAGTTCTGCAGAAAATGATCTCGGGGTTATAGTGGATCACAATCTGAAAAGTTGTGATGCTGTTGTGAAAAAGGGAAATGTCATTCTGAATTGTATTGACAAGAATGTCATATGTAAGACACGGGAGGTAACTGTCCCGCTCTACTTAGCTCTGGTGCGGCCTCAGCTGGAGTTCTGTGTCCAGTTTTGTTCATCACTGTTTAAGAAAGATAAGGACAAATTGGAGAATGTCCAGAGGAGAGCAACAAACAGAGTAAGACATTTAGAAAACATGATCTATGAGGAAATGTTGAAAGAATTGGACATTTTTAGTTTAGAGAAGAGAAGACAGAGAGGTGAACAGATAACAGTCTTCAAATAACTGAAAGATTGTTTCTCAGTTGTTGTCCATATCCACCAAGGGTAGGACTAGACAATCATTTTAGATTGTAGCAAATGAGATTCAGATTAGATATTAGAAAAAACTTTCTAACTATAGGGATAATTAAGTACTGGAACAGGGTACGTAGGGAGGTTGTGTAATCCCCATCATTGGTGACTTTGCACAACAAGCTAGACAAACATCTGTCAGGGTGGCCTAGGTATACTTAAACCTCCCTTGGTGTGAGGAGATGGACTAGATCACCTCTTGAGGTTCTTCCTAACCCTACATTTCTCTTATTCTGTGGTTTTATCAGCTATTGAGGCCTGCTGATATAAAAATAGTAAAGGCCATTTAACTTTCTCCTGAGTTACCAATGAACTAAAGAATAGTTCATCCTTTTCACATAATATGATACATCCTGTTTCTATCCAAAATCAGAAATGTTTATTGAATACTTCTGCATTTTCTGCATCATTGTTAACAATTTTACCATCTTGATTTGCAGTGGAACTCTACCACTATTAGGATTTTTTGTTTGTTCCAAGTATACCTAAAAAAACACCTTGTGAGTCTCCTTAGTGCGGCAACACATGATTTTTTCCCTAATATCAGTAGCTTCCCTTATCAATTTTCTACACATCATAACATCTAACTTTGCCACTGAACCATGATTGGCATTCAGCCAAAATTTTATGGCCGTTGAGCATCTAACTCCCTGAGGCCCCTTTGTAAATTCCTGCTTCATTGAATTTCTAGGACACATTAAGCCCCGACTGGTTGGAGGGCATAGTGCCTGTTCGGGACGTGTGGAAATAAGAGATGGAGAAACATGGACCACACTCTGTGTTGCCCACTTTGATCTCAAAGCTGCCAACGTTATCTGTAATGAACTACAATGTGGAATAGTTCTGTCTATCCCAGGAGGAGCTCACTTTGGAGAAGGACATGGACCAATCTGGACTGAAGCGTTCCAGTGTGCGGGGAATGAGTCTCACCATGCGTACTGTCCCAGGATATCGGACATCAGTCAGACATGCTCACACGCAAATGATGCTGGAGCCATATGCTCAGGTAAGAATTCAGTGCAAAGTCTTTAAAATCCCAGTGATGTGAATTTTAGATTAGGGTGAAGCAATATACAGATCTCACTGTGTAGAGAGCTAGGGTAATAGGATGGCACCAGCTTCTCGTAAAATGCAAATGATCCAAGATAATTAGAATTGGATCAAATCTGCCCTGACTTTCCTTTCTTTAACTATTTGTTATAAAATAGCTCCAAGGTTCCCTCTCTAAACCCCTTCTCCCTTCTCCCTAGGGCACACAGGGCTCCGGCTGGTGAATGGCAGCTCAGAGTGCTCAGGGAGGGTGGAGATCCAGGTTCTTGGTGCCTGGCGAAACCTCTGTGACTCACGCTGGGATTTACCAGATGCCAACGTTCTCTGTCATCAGCTCGACTGCGGATTTGCTGTATCAGCCCCAGGAGGAGGGTATTTTGGGAGGGGAACTGGCTCTGTCTGGACAGACACATTTCACTGTAAAGGAACTGAACCACATTTGGGGTATTGCCCTGTTACTGCCCTGGGGGCCTCTCAGTGCTCCCATGACAATGATGCCAGTGTGGTTTGCTCAGGTAAGTGTAATGCTGGATTAATGACACCTGCCCCTCGGTGTGTGACACTGGCCCCAGAGCAGGGGAACCTCAGGGCACGGCAAGGGGAGGGGGAGCTAGATCCTAAACCACATATAATAATGGTAAATGTATTAAAAATAAAATTAAAGTAAATAATATCTCACAAAAAGAATAGTGATGACCCAGGAATGCCCTGGATTCTCCAATAAAAACATCAGCAACTCTGTCCTTACGCAGGGCAGCGGAGCAAGGGCAGTACTTTGTCCTTCGGGTTTCATAAATGTCACCAATTCACTGTCCTCATCCTTCTCCAAATCACTGCTATAGTAATTAGAGGGGGAGCTACTAGCAATTCCCAATATGGAGGTTGCTTCACACTTTCTATTATAAAATACTCTCAACACCTTCTTGAGAAGCGTTTATGCCTTGATTGTTTGCAGCAGGCCTTTGCAATTGGAGAAGGGGTAATGCTGGGACCAGGGAAGTGCCTTCCCCTAGTGCAGGGAAATCCCTTCCAGGTTTGGCTGAATTATAAACTGCTGAAAATAAATATTTCCCTTCTCTCACTTGAGTTCCTGAGGATATTTTTGGTAGCACACCACAGAGAAAGTAGCACTTTAGCTCACGTTGGTTTTTTTCTAACTTTTTTCACACCTTTCCAGTTGAAAAAAAAAACTCAAAAAGATTTCCCCCCTGCTTTCTTACACTTTTTTACTTTTTTCTAACTTTTTACAGTGGAAGAAAAGATGAAAAAATAGAAAGGGGGAGATAGGGGGAAAACTTGTAATCCCAAATATGAAAAGGAAAATTGATTTTTTCATTTTCAAAAAGTTTAAATGAATCAACATTTTAGTTAGAATCTAAACAAAAATTCTCATTCCATTTCCACATCCCAGTCTTTTGGATGTGTTTAAAAGTTGAAATACTGCATTATAATACAGTACTTAACAGGAAAAATGCTGGGTTGTCGACCAGCTCTAATATTTATCTTACATAAAAGCATTAAAAAATTAAACAGTGTTATTAGTCAAAGCCAAATGCGCAAGAATTAGGAAATATCGGAGTTAAGGTTACCCATGCAGCCCCCCCCCTTTGCATATACATTATGACCGAGTCTAATTTGTCTTCATAACACCCCTGGCTGATTGCAGATTCTTATGATGCCCCTTTCAAAAGTGACACAGGCACTTAGAAGCCCAAGAATAACATTTTCAAAAGTGACTAAGTGACTTAGGGACTTAAATCCCATTTTCTCCAGTAACGTAGGAGCCCAAGAACCCTGAAGACTTCACCTTCTTGCTGCCTAAGTCACTTCTGAAAATGGCACTTCGGCACCTACATCATTTAGCTGCTTTTGAAAATGTTACATACAATGATTAAAGCCAAACTTCCAAACTCACTACTTATTTGGGATGATTGGGCACCAACCTGAGACCCTCAGGGCCTGATTCTTCAGAGTACTCACCATTTCTGTAGAGCTTTATATGTTCAAAGTACTGTCCAGACATTAATAAACCCTCACAGAACTCCAGGGAAGCAGGTGGGTAAGTATTATTATTAGCTCCATTTTATAGCTGGTGAAACTGAGAGAGAAAAGCAAAGTGACTTGCCCAAGGCCACCCAGTGACTCAGCAGTGGAGCCAGGATAAAATTCAGTATTTTGATTCTCAGCCCTGTGCTCGTTCCACCTGACCAAGCTGCCTGACTGCAGAAGAGCTGAGCAGCCACATCTTGTCTTGACCCTAGTGGCAGTTGTGAGTGCTCAGTACTTCTGCTAATCAGACCCCATAAAAACTGGCTTAAGAGACCTGCTCAGCATCACCTGTGAAGTCTACAGCAGAGGCAAGAACAGAACTGAGCTCTACTGAATGATGGTCACTGCTCTTAACAAGATCATCCTAATTCTTCCTGCGCTCCCCTGCTCAATCTCTACAGGCCTTCCAGTTTCTAAAGTGAATGAGGCAGGGGTCATACAGGCAACAGCCTGATGCTGCACAATCCTGATTTATCCATCCTGGGCACCGAGGAAAAATAATTCACTAGAAAACTTATTTTTAATGCCCAGACAATCTGGTTCCCCTTGTGGCTAAATGGAGCCCGTCTTATGGGTCTATAGATCCGCAGAGTTTTAAGACCCAAAAGTCCATTGTAATCATCTGCTTCTTCCCTCACCAAAGAGACCCCTCCTGCTTAATGAAGTTGCAGCTCCCCTCTCTGCCCCATCTTCTCATCCATGTACAGAGTTTCCATAGGGCTTCTTCACTGGCTGGAACTGGGGTCCTAACAGAGAAACCTACTACAGAATCCCTGGATTTCAACCTTCTTCCTAATAATATATACATAGCTTCCAGGACTGTATCCCACAGAGCCCAGAGTCACTGGTGCCATTACACACCATGACTAAGCCTATAGGGCCCTGCCCAGCACTCTCAACAGACATCCACTCTCCTCTTTACAGCTGATACCTTTATACCTTGGGGACAATTCACCTCGCAGTTCTAGTGCTTCTCACAGAGGCTGCTACCTGCATTCATAACTGAATTCCCTGCAGCCCTGCCCTGCCTCTCCTAACTAGCTACCCAGCCCATACCCTGGGAACTCCATAAGAACGGCCAAACTGGGTCAGACCAAAGGTCCATCCAGCCCAGTATCCTGTCTACCCACAGTGGCCAATGCCAGATGCCCCAGAGGGAGTGAATCTAACTGGTAATGATCAAGTGATCTCTCTCCTGCCATCCATCTCCACCCTCGGACAAAGAGAGGCTAGAGACACCATTCCTTACCCATCCCGGCTATTAGCCATTAATGGACTTAACCTCCATGAATTTATCCAGTTCTCTTTTAAACGCTGTTATAGTCCTAGCCTTCACAACCTCCTCAGGCAAGGAGTTCCACAAGTTGACTGTGTGCTGTGTGAAGAAGAACTTCCTTCTATTTGTTTTAAACCTGCTGCCCATTAATTGTATTTGGTGACCCCTAGTTCTTGTATTATGGGAATAAGTAAATAACTTTTCCTTATCTACTTTCGCCACATCGCTCATGATTTTATATACCTCTATCATATCCCCCCTTAGTCTCCTCTTTTCCAAGCTGAAGAGTCCTTGCCTCTTTAATCTCTCCTCATATGGGACCCATTCCAAACCCTAATCATTTTAGTTGCCCTTCTCTGAACCTTTTCTAGTGCCAGTATATCTTTTTTTGAGATGAGGAGACCACATCTATATGCAGTATTCAAGATATGGGCGTACTATCGATTTATATAAGGCCAATAATATATTCTCCATCTTATTCTCTATCCCCTTTTTAATGATTCCTAACATCCTGTTTGCTTTTTTGACCGCCTCTGCACACTGCGTGGACGTCTTCAGAGAACTATCCACGATGACGCCGAGATCTTTTTCCTGATTCGTTGTAGCTAAATTAGCCCCCATCATATTGTATGTATAGTTGAGGTTATTTTTTCCAATGTGCATTACTTTACATTTATCCACATTACATTTCATTTGCCATTTTGTTGCCCAATCACTTAGTTTTGTGTTATCTTTTTGAAGTTCTTCACAGTGCTTCGGTCTTAACTATCTTGAGCAGTTTAGTATCATCTGCAAACTTTGCCACCTCACTGTTTACCCCTTTCTCCAGATCATTTATGAATAAGTTGAATAGGATTGGTCCTAGGACAGACCCTTGGGGAACACCACTAGTTACCCCTCTCCATTCTGAGAATTTACCATTAATTCCTACCCTTTGTTCCCTGTCTTTTAACCAGTTCTCAATCCATGAAAGGACCTTCCCTTTTCTCCCATGACAACTTAATTTACATAAGAGCTTTTGGTGAGGGACCTTGTCAAAGGCTTTCTGGAAATCTAAGTACACTATGTCCACTGGATCTCCCTTGTCCACATGTTTGTTGACCACTTCAAAGAATTCTAATAAATGAGTAAGACATGATTTCCCTTTACAGAAACCATGTTGATGTTTGCCCAACAATTTATGTTCTTCTATGTCTCTGACAATTTTATTCTTTACTATTATTTCGACTAATTTGCCCGGTACTGACGTTAGACTTAATTGCCGGGATCACTTCTAGAGCCCTTTTTAAATATTGGCGTTACATTAGCTATCTTCCAGTCATTGGATATAGAAGCCTATTTAAAGGACAGGTTACAAACCATAGTTAATAGTTCCGCAACTTCACATTTGAGTTCTTTCAGAACTCTTGGGTGAATGCCATCTGGTGCCGGTGACTTACAGTTGCTAGAAGGAGAATCCCTTCTAAGGAAAAACACCTGGTCCCTTCTGCATGAGCTCCATCTGCCATGATCCAATCTGGCCTTCCTGAGGGACTGTGGTACCCAGTTATACCCATGAGCCTCCTCGGAAAGCCCCAAATCTACTCTCTACCCTGACACTACACTAGTGGCATAGCTAGGACAGGAAACCTGGGTGAGTCCAGGCTTTCGGGAGGTGAGCAGTGATGGGAAGGAGCAGAGGGAGGGGTGCAGGAGGGATCCGGTACCCTGTGAAGGAGGCAGGAGGGAGGGGGCTCTCCTCCCTCCACCCCTTCCATCCGGCCCTTTCCGCTTAGCAGGCATGCAACGCTGGGGCTGCCCGGGGCACACAGCCTGCGGGGTGTGCCTACGGTAACCAGACAGCAAATGTGAAAAATTGGATAGGTGGTGGGAGGTAATATAAGAAAAAGCCCCAAATATCAGGACTGTCCCTATAAAATCGGGACACCTGGCGCACCCTTGGGGCGAAGGGGGGTCCCGCTGGGGCTCGAGCTCCACTCACCTTTCCTGACCCTGGCTTGGTGTCCATCAGCCCAGCCATGTCCCTTTCCTGCTGACGCCAGGAGCTGCTGCCCCAGTCTCCGGCCCCAGCACTAGCCCCGCCCAGACCTGACCCCAAAAGGCACACCCCCCACAGCGCTAGCGCTGGGGTCAGACCAGGGAAGCAGTGCACAGCACCAGCAGCAGAGAGATGCAGCCAGGCTGACGGACACCATGCCGGGGATGGGAGTCCCAGCTTTGGCCCTGATTTGGGTGGGCCTGGATGCTAACTGGGTAGACCATGGCCCAACTGTGGCTACACCCCTGCACTACACTAGCTGCACGCAGGCATTCCCCTGCTACAGTCTTAGGGCGAACTCCTGGCTCCATTGAAGACAATGGACGTTTTACCATTGCCTTCAATGGGGCCAGGATTTCACTCTTAGCCTTGAAATGTTATTTGGCTAACAAGATCCTTGAGCTGTTTGGATCCAGTGCACACATACTACACCCGTCAGGTTACCATACTAGTACATACTGTACCTGACACAGCCAGTGGGTGTGCCCTGCACTGACTCTGCTGTTGTCTTTTAACATTGTCAGTCTCTCCTGGCTGCACCTGGGTCTGAATTCGGTGAGTAATTCCTAACTTACCACCTTGCTGTACGACTCACTGATTCTGAGACACACACAAAGACTGAGATTCACATCCCAAGGACGTCACAATATTCACTAACAGAGAACGTCCCCTTCCCTGCCCCACACACAACCTCCTTAGTGTGGTGTGAATTGATCAGCTGGAATCTCACGTTGGGCTCAGAGATGACACCACACTTCAGGGGACAGCTCCAGTCAGAACCACCAGTGCCAGGAACTATCTCACACTGGGAGCTCCTGCACTGGACCCAGGTGAACCAAGAAAGTTGCCACCTACTGAGCAAAGTTCAGAGGGAACTAAGGGAATTTACCAACAATAACCTCTTCCTGACCACCATGAACCCTGCTCTTCCATTGGCCAAACTCCCTCATGGCAAACTTGCCTAAATCACTCACGACCCACCTGCTAAGCGCTTGTGCAGACACCATTCACTGGCTTCCAGGCATTTAAGCCTGGATAAAGGGAGTACAAACCTCAGCAGCCATTCCACCACCACACACAGAGACTATTTTCCCAATCAGTAACCTGCAGGAATTCTCTCGCTCACTCATTTACAGGGTCTGCTGGCAAGTCCCGCTGGCAAACTCAGCGTGTTACAATCCTTATAACACCTTCCACTTATAGATTCAAAAGAATAAGTGTCTTCTAACAGAGGTTGTTCCATTTAACACTGTGATGCACTCTGACCACTGGCTTATGCTTTCTTATTGAGAAACAGTCCATAATTTCATGCACACTCTGTATTATTTCTAATGTTTAACAGGGAGTGTTATTCAGTGTGTTTCCCATCTCTCCTGAGCCCAGGTCGCTCTGAATCACTCAGACTGCTGAATGGAGAGAGCCGGTGTGACGGGAGAGTCGAGATTTCCCTCCGTGGTGTGAGGGGCAGAGTCCTGGATGACCAGTGGGACATGAACGATGCCAGCGTGGTGTGCAGGCAGCTCCAGTGCGGAGTCGCTGAGAAAGCTTATTACCCCCCTAAGTCTGAGCGAGGAACGGGCCCTGTGGGGCTGAGAAGGGTCCAGTGTGCAGGAAACGAGACTCGTCTGACTCTCTGTGACAACTCCACGTCTGAGACAGCCCAGGCAGGAATTGCTGCGGACGTCGGTGTCGTTTGTTCAGGTGATTTATTTCCAAATCTCACAGACATTCTCTGTTCAGTAGGAAAATACATATTAACAGCTGGGATCTATCCCTGCAGGGAGCAGGCGGATCAGACTGGTGAATGGGACAAGTCGCTGTGCAGGGAGAGTGGAGATTTATTACAATGGCAGCTGGGGGACGGTCTGTGATGATTTCTGGGATCTGTCAGACTCCAATGTCATTTGCAAACAACTGGGATGTGGACGTGCCATCAATGCAACTGTCTCTGCTCATTATGGGCAAGGATCCGGGCAGATCTGGCTGGATGATGTGAACTGCTCTGGGAATGAATCCGATCTCTGGTCGTGTCCTTCCAGAGGCTGGGGCCAGCACAACTGCAGACACAAAGAGGATTCAGGAGTTCTCTGCTCAGGTCTGTTCTGTGAATGCTCTTGTGAGCCGTGTTACCAGGGGATTTAATGGAGGGGGCAGATGTTTAAGGAGATCGCTGAGAATGATACTTTCCCTGGCTGTCTCTGCCGCCCTTTCCCTTGGGTACCTACCAGGGTCACCATTAGAACGTCCTCAACTTCCACCAGGAGGTATTGGAGATATTACAAGATTTCCCTAATGTTAGAATGCTGCATCTCAGGTATCTGAAGGAGACAGTATCATAGAAACCAGTGACTGAAAAGGATGTAGGGTCCTAGTGGAGAAATAACTGAACATGAGCTCCCAGTGCCGTGTGTGGCAAAATGGGCTAATGTGAACCTTGGATGTATAAACAGGGGAGTAGTGAATAGGAGTGGGGACTAAATTTTACTGTTGTTTATGGCACTGGTGAGACAGATACTGGAATACTATGTCCAGGTCTGATGTCCACAAAAATTGGAGAGGGAGCAGAGAAGAGCCACACAAAAAAGTGATCACAAAAGCCTTACATTGAGAGATTTAAGATGCTGAATCTGTTCAGCTTATCAAAACAATCAAGAGGTGACTTGATTACAGTGCATAAGTTCCGTCACAAGGAGAACATACCACTTACTAAAGGGCTCTTTAATCTAATGGAGAAAGGCAGAACAAGAGTCGATGGCTGGAAGCTGAAACCAGCCAAATATCAGAAATAAGGCACAGGTTTTTAACAGGGTGATTAACCATCAGAACAAACTACCAGGGAAATGGTGCATTCTGCATCTCTTGAAGTCTTCCTGTCTAGACTGGATGCCTTTTTGGAAGCGATGCTTACATCAAACTCAAGTTATTAGGCTCTATGCAGCTGTTTTACAGACGGTTAAATTATTTGATCTCATGATCCCTGTCACGCTGTCTGGAGTGGCTCACGGCACTGAGTGCCCACCTCAGCGCAGATGGTGAGAAACAAGGCAATACCCCAAACTGGTGGTGTGTCTATAAGTAGATTTAACCAAGACAGTAACAGATGTAAACTCCTGGACCAATGTTCCCTCTAATATTTTACATCCATGTGTGGAATGAATTTTGTTATGTGCACCAGTATAGAGGTGATGGGTGGCAGAGTTGAGGCCAAGGGGTCCGGAGTGTGGGAGGTGGCTCAGGGCTGGGGCAGAGGGTGGCAGTGTGCAGGGTGAGGGCTCTGGCTGGGGGTGAGGGCTCTGGAGTGGGCCCAGGGATGAGGGGCTCAGGGTGCAGGAGGGGGCTCAGGGCTGGGGCAGAGAGTTGGGAGTATGGGGGGGTGAGGGCTCTGGCTGGGGGTGTGGGCTATGGGGTGGGGCCATGGATGAAGGGTTTGGGGTGCAGGCTGCCGTGGGGCTGTGGCAGGGAAAGAGGACTCCCCTCAGCCCTTTCTTGCTGCAGCAGCTCTGGGGCCAGAGAAGAGAGGCACCTCTCCCCACTGTGGCAGCTCGGGGGCCGGGGCCTGTGGCTGTGTGCCTATGCGGCCCTTCATAGCCTGTTGTGCGGACACATGGCCACGCAGCTTAGAGGAAACTTAGTCCTGGATCACTATATCTATCTTACCATGGAGTCACAGACAGTCCCCTTAGACTCTCCAGTCTATCTTGTCACCCAGACAAACTGGACTTAGTTATAATTGGTCACTTACACCAAAAATCACCCTACATTCAGGTTGCTTCCAGTCCCAAGAGATCAGTCGCTTACTCCAGATCAGTTGATACCCTGAATCTTACACCAAAGACAATGCCTGTAGTCAATCCTGTAATAAACTAGATACGGGTTTATTAACTAGGAAAAAGAACTAAAACGCTATTTACAAGCTTAATGCAAGCAAACATATACACACAAATGAGTTACCATTTACATCCTAGGAGTGACAGAGTTGTAGTGATTTGTCAATTCCAAATGTCCTTCAGCACTGACCCAGGGGTAACCCATAGGATCTCCAACTTCAATTTGGTGTCTCTGGCCCTGTCATAGTTCAAACAGCCAAAAAGATGAAAAATCTTCACATCTGCTATTTTTACCTCCCTCTTCCAGCCTTCAAAGCGATGGGACGGGGCCTTCTGCATGTACTGCTCCATGGGTGTGATAAGGCCATTAACCAATCCTTTATATTGTGATGATCCTTGATAGCCCATCTGATTTGGATAATCCTTGGGGATGGAGAGGGGGGATGATTCCCATGCCTGAGTTCTCAAGTTCAGAGCCAACATTTTCAGTTATAAAGCAACATTTACATATTTGTTTGTAGCATGGACCACAGACATTACAAATGAGATTAATGCCTGGAGCAACTAACCACCATTTCATAGACTCTAAACACAAAATATAGTCTTACAAGACTAATACCTGTTTTGAGCAAAACTAACATACAGGTGACCTGGTCAGTTCTCAGCTAATGCCTGCAGCCTGGGCAAGAGCTGGCATCTGGCCTGCCAATGTTACAATCCTTTCAGGTCTTAATCTATTACAATCTGTATGTAGTTGCTGGTAAATAGTGGCCTTTCGGAGCTGCCCACTGTATTTCTAAGGGGCCTGTGGTGTCTAAAGGTGTCTCTGATTCTTGGAGTGATTATCCCTGACACTTGCTCCTGCAGAATGATGCACAGGATCGTTAGCAATTGCTGGGATTTCGCTCTTCACGCCCCAGTTCATTTCAGAATCAGACGATTTAAATTCCCTTTTTGTGCATTTGCTTCTAGAATTCACAGATCTGAGGCTGGTGAGCGACAGTGACTGTGCTGGGCGGCTGGAGGTTTTCTACAATGGGACATGGGGCAGTGTTTGCTCCAATCAGATGTCTGAAGTTACCGCAGCAATTGTCTGCAAACAACTGAACTGTGGAGACGGAGGGTATATTGCAGGAGGCTCTGAATATGGAAAGGGTCCCACATGGCTGGACCATGTTGCATGCAATGAGCAACACAGCTCCCTCTGGCAGTGCCCTTCAGAGCCCTGGAATCCAAAGTCATGTGATAACCGAGCAGAAGAGACCCATATTTCTTGCACTGGTAATTCTGAAACTACCTGCTTGCGCATGTGCAAACACACATGTACGCGATGTGTTTAATTAATTGAAGGGTTAGGATAGAACTTTTGTTGTTGTTCACATCTCAGTGTAGGCAGATATAAATTCTCAACACAACATACAAACATATTTGCATGGTCTTTTATAGGTATACGCATTTGTCTGATTAACAACAAACATGGAAGTTAATCAATTAATTATAAAAGAGACCGGTGTTACACAGTGAGCTAAGGTAGTGAGAGAGTGAAGAAAAGCCTCTCCCTAGAGACCATCATTAGGCAGCTCTGTGGTTATTAATATTTTTGGGATGAACAATCAGAGATGGGCCCAGGCTGTGCAGTTTGGGTCAAGACTGGAATCCCCCCCAAGTCTATGTTCATGTCAGCCTGTGTGTCTGAGTAACAGCTGAATAGCAAATTAATTAGGTATGAAATGACCCAGAGTTCACATTTCAGTTCATACAGTGCTGAAATTAGGGGGTAAAAATACAGATAAATTCTACTCTCACATCACACAGTGCATTCACCTCGGCATTTTCTCTCCATAGGAAAAAAAGCAAAACCAACTCAGACCCTATTTGCTGAATGCCCGAACTCTACAAGCTGCGCAGGTATCTCTGCTTCTCACTGTCTCACTCTTGATCCCTAAGGACTTTCCCAGCTGTCCCAGTAACATGTGAGGTTTCTGCATTTCCAGACAGGGAGAAGTTACGTGTTGTGGGAGGAAAGGACAGATGCTCGGGGAGAGTGGAGGTTTGGTACCGTGGCTCCTGGGGAACAGTTTGTGATGACTCCTGGGACATGGCAGATGCTAACGTTGTGTGTAAACAACTGGGCTGTGGATCTGCTGTATCTGCCCCTGGTGAGGCTGCATTTGACGAGGGGACTGGTCCAATCTGGGTGGAGACGTTGAATTGCAGAGGGACAGAGTCATCTCTCTGGGACTGTTGTTCCAAGCCCTGGGGTGAGAGTAACTGTGACCATAAGGAAGATGCTGCGGTGAATTGCTCAGGTGAGTGACAGGAGATGTTTCTGCTACATACTGTAATTTTCAGGGAGGAGGATGGGTCAGCCCACCCCTCTATCCCTTTGGTCCCAGACCAGGCCCTCCCATCTCCTGTGTGCAGAAGCATCATGGATGCTGTGGGGTGGAACCTTTGTGGGGTCAGATTGGCTCAGGCATCAGCCCACATAACCCCTGCATCCATCACAGGCCCCAGTGTGCTTGTTTGTTACTAGAGTCCTCATTGCTGCACAGAGCACAAGGGACTTGGGCCCTAAATCACTAACAAACAGGCCCTGTGCTGCTGTGAGGGAGTTTGTGGAGGTGACAGCTGGAGACAACCAGGGACTCTCAGTGGTGAGGTTCCCCCCGGGGAACAGACACGTCACCTCCCCCTCGCTCCAGACTCCAACTCTCCTCCCTTTCCCTTTGCAGGTCTGATAGAGAGGACAGATTCCCCGAATACCCCAGGTAACCATCCCCCTCCTCCCATCAAGGGTTAAATTTCCCTGGTGCTGGGTCACAGAGGAGGAGCTGCAAGCTGCAGCCTGAGGGAAGGAGCTCCTTTCCATGACCTGTGACATCTGAGGGTGAAGGACACCCGGGTGGGAGCTGCAGGCCCTGCTGAGCCAGAGGATTCCTATCTGCTGGTTCCAGTTGACAGGGGAGGGCCCATGATTTAAACAGCAGCCTGTGAGCTGCTCCCATGGCACATAGACTGTGTCCCAGCCCATTACCTGCTGTTCTGGGCCCTGCAATGAGTGACTGGGGAGCTCCCTGGGGCCCTCTGACTCTCACAGGATAATCTCTCCTTGTCACATGTTCATTTCCATCCAGCTCCCCCACGCCGCCCTCTGACCGACAGTGGGAGAGTCACAGTGCCCGTGGTCATCTGCATTATCCTGGGGACCCTGCTCTGCCTGGTCTTAATTATCCTGGGGGCACAGGTGCGAAGTGCCAGGGCACAAAGCAGAGGTGGGTGTTGATCGGTGTCACTGTGTGAAATGCCTCTGCAATAGAAGGGGACTGCAGGGTGTCAGAGTGAGGGGTGATACCGGGCTGGGTGGGGTGGCTGAGGATGCCTGTTAACTCCTCTCTCATTTAATATTTCATTAACTGTGTGGCAGTGGAACAGCCCAGCCATGAAATCTGGAGATGATACTAGCTAGGGAGCATCACAGTTTAAGGGAAACTGCACCTGTATCCCCCCCGCTCCCTCCCCGTGGTGCACTCCAGGAGTGCCAAATCACACCTCAGGCTCCAGTCATCACCTCTCTCTGGGTAGAACCCCCCGTCCCATCTCCTGCTGACCAGGGTTTTTTAATGCTGCACAGCCCCCTGCCTTCCACTGTGATACCCCCAGCAAACCAGTCTGCCTACAGGCCAGCCCCCATGCTGTGTATTCTCCCCAAGGGCTATGAGCAGTGCATTACCAGCAGTTACAAGTCACCACCCAACTCTCTCTCAGCAGACTGCACCTTGTTAGTAGGATGAAAGTATCACAGAGAAAACATTAAAAACAATAAAAATTCCTCCACACTTTCTGAACATACCAAAATCACCCGTCTTCCTCATGGGCAGCCTGGTAGACCAACGTCCCTCCAATGATTCAGTGTTGGGATCCTCATGGACAGAAGGTCCTGCCCATTTGGTGAATCAAAGTGAAGGCCCTGAGTCTGTTTAAACTCAGCCTTTCATATCAGAAGTCTTTCTTTGTCTCTTGGTCTCTGGCAACCCAGTTTGAACCAGTCTGTGTAAACCACCCTGAAGGCTGTTACCTTTCTGGGGTTGTTACAATCTCAGTGATTCACCTTAATCCGCCCCCCCCGCCCCCACACACACACACTGTTTTTTCTTCCTGGAGGAGCTGTGGAAACCCTTCCACATGCAGTAGAACACACTCACACATAAACCATTCATATATTTAATACAGTGATTCCCAAAGATACTGCCTGGGGTTGCAGTATCTGTCACAGCAGCATGGGGGAAGTATTATTTAAGCTATTCCAAAGGAGAATAGCCAGGAATAATGGGATGAGATTAAAAAGGGAACATTTAAGATGAATGTGAGGAAGGTTCCTGACAGCGAACTAGCCCTGGGAACCATCATCAAAGGGCTGTTGTGTAAAGAAACCCTGTCCCCTGGCTCATTTAAATTCCAGCAGTGGGAATGTGCTGTAGGGTTTAGGCTCGCACTGGGCCCAGGGGGAGGGGCTGGATGATCCCATAGTGTTTCCCATCTCTGGTTTCAATGACCCTGGGCAAACCCTGACCTTTGTTTTCAGGTTCCAGAAGACCCTTGGATCCCTTCTCTGAGGCCGTGTACGAGGAGATTGACTATAACCTGATGAGAGAGAAGCAGGAGATGTTCAGTCGCTCAGGTCTGTGTGTCTCACTCTTAACAGGGAGCAGCTATCTAATGCCCTTTCCATCTGAGGCCCTGACCCAGAGTTAAATCACTGCAGCTTCAGCCCTGTCATTGGAGCTGGGCACACATCTTCATTACAAAATATTTTGGTGAAAAATGCAGATTCAGAGACACCGAAACATTTCACAAATTCCTGTCAATTTCACCCAATTGTTCCAAACACACACAGAACAATTCATATCATTTCAACACTTTCTAAAGAAAATATTTTGTTTTTTTCAATTTGATATGACTTTTCCATTAGAAATTTCCTCTAATGTTATCTATAAAAAAAAACAAATAAACAAAAATTAACTAATGTCTAAAAGAACACCAAATGGTTTCATTCAACATTAAACTTTTTTTTTTACTTTTGCATTTGCCAAAAATTGCCAAAAAAAGTCATTTTTGGCTGAACTCAAAACAACGTTGGGTTTTTTGCTTTTTTCCCCCAATGGCCAGAGAACCAAACCATCTGGGTTTTTGCCAAGCTCTAGCTGTGGGAGCTGGGTCTGTGGTGAGACCAGCAGTTACTTGTGTAGACTGAGGGAGATGAGTTTCCTTCCCACCTTACACTGAGTGTCCCAATTCTAGGGACAGTTAATGTCACTCTGCCCGTCCTGCAGCCTTGGAGTGTAACCAGTGAGGGGTCAGGAAAGCGACTGTCTGGGGCCAGGCTAAACTATCATTTGAAAACTGCTCTGGAGCATTGGAGCAGGGGATGTTCTGTGGCCCCCTCCCACCGTAGCCACTGGTCTGCTGGGTGGGCTCTCTCCTGCCCCCAGAGCAGAGAGATCAGCCTAGGAGAGCCTCATGACTTTCAGTCACGGCCCTGTTATCCTTTGTGCCATTTTGTCTCAATGTCCGATGGGAACATCTTGCCAAGGGCTGTGCTTTGGTGGGGCTCTAGGAACATGCTCAGGGCATCCCCCAGCACCAATGCCCAGATGGTTACAGGGAATCACAGACTCTGCTCTGGGCCTTTCTTGGCCTAATCTGGAAACACCACAGAGAGCTGATCGACTGATTCATGGGGGAGGCGGGTATTTACCCTTTAGAAGGAGGAATCCCCTCTGTGGCTGAGGAGGCCAGAACCATTGTGGAAATTCCCTGGACCAGCAGCCAGAGTCATGCCCTTCACTCACCCCAGCGTCTTTCAGGTCAGATTGTAGCATCCCCTCAGTCACATTTACCACAGTAACATGGAGATTTCTCTTGGGGAGTCTGTGTCAGCCTCTCACCGCTCAGAGTCGCTGTGAGTCACCATCTCCCGTAGAAGAAGGAATAGACTGAGACTGGAAGTCCTGCTCCTGGCCCCGGGTGTGTTCCCAGTCCCACAGTTCTACTGTTCTCACTGTGATGAATTTCTGGTTCTCGTCTCTCCAGTCTCCTATTCAGATGATTCAGTGACGAAGCTGCAGTATTACACCGGGGACAGCGAGGGGGAAAACGATCCTGGATCAGAACAAGGTAACGGGGGAGGGGCAGACTCAGGCCGAGAGAGACCCAAATCTGGGCAGAGAATAGAATTTCTATGACACTTTCTGCAATCGCAGCAATTTCCCCTCACACGGTTCCCATTTTACACAGTCGGGTCTAATCCCATTGAACAGGATTTCTGCCAGAATCTCAGGGTGGGAACATGTGACCATCTCCTGAGCACAGACCCCTGGGAGTGCCTCCCAGTGACCTCCCCTGGTGAGGAGCTGGAGCAGACGGGTCAGTCTCTTTGGGTGGAAGGTGTCCATGCCCAGCAGGGCTCGTCTCTCACCTCTGAGAGAGACAAGAAGATTTTCTTGTGTTATAATTACAGATGGGCTGAGTCCAACTCACTGATCCGAACCCAACAGAACTTTGCAGGAGGGGGATTTGCAGATTCTGACCCCAGCTCTGGATCTCAGTTTTGGGGCTGGCACCTGTCACTATAACAAGCTGAAGCAAACCCCTGGATCTGAACTTCCTGGCCTGGGCCCATCTCTAGTTATAAACAGGGCGGCATTTCTACCCCAGCTGCTCTCAAGGGAGTCCATGAATTTGGGCCCTGTGGGAGTTTAGCCTGTGGCTGGGGGAGGAGACACTGAGCAGATGAGCCAGTTCTGCTGAGAAGCTGGAGCGCTGCCAAGCTGAGCCCTGGGCTGCCTGAGAGGCTAGTGGAGAGCAGGAGCTCACAAAGGATCAGGCCAGCGACCTCCCAGCAGGAGCTTTAATTCCTGCAGAGGGGAGGTTCCCCCTCCCCAGGGTAACAGGAAAATTCAAACCTGTCTGCAGAGATCAGCTGGATTCACACAGGCCGGCTCTGGCCTGGCAGCGCCCGTGTTCCAACCTGTTATCTCAGCACAAGCCCAGATCCTGCTCCCACTGAAACACATAAAAGAGATGCTGTTGGATTCTGCAGGGACAGGATTGGCCCCTAGTTATTTCTGGGACTCCTGTTTCACTGTAGTTCTCTGACTTGTGCCCTTCTCACCATGGGCCCCCTGTGACTTCCCCTCTCACGTGCCATGATAAACAGCTCTAGTTATAAGGGCCACCTGTGCTGAAGAGACCCTGCTGGTGCCATGGGCTGAGTGTGGTGTTTGCTCTTCCAGAGGGAGCTTCCCCGGGGGGGTCTCAGTTGGATTACGATAACGTGGAGGAGCCTGAGTTGAACGACGTCCCCCAGACTCCAGATGGCCGAGGTTAGCAGTGAATCCACCTCCTGGAACCAACGTCACCCTGTCGAAAAACTGAATGTGTTTCCCAGTAGGAACAATAATGGTTTGTTAAGAAAACCACAAAGTTCACCCACCAGTATTGTCTATTGGCGTAACGCTGGGGGCACTGACCAGGTGCATTACCAGAGCTGTGTGGAAGCCCAGGGGTAGGGAAGCGTGTGATGTTCTAGGTCATGACAGAGGCCCATTGCAGGATGGAAGGAGCAGTGTGCTCAGGAGCTGCCCACGCGGTACTTGGCTCAGGTCACTGCCCTGGGACCCTCACTGCCATGAACACTAGGGTTACTCACCATTTGTAAAGAGGGCACATTGAATCAGAGATGTCATCAGTGCTGCAATATTCCCTGCCAGCCTTTCCTGGCACGTGTCTATTCCAGCTTATATACATCTGTGTCAGACACACTGGGACAGGGGGGTGGGTGGGACAGAGATTTTACACCCAAGGGCAGAGGTCCCACCCTTATTAACCGGCTCAGGTCCCAGTGGTGTTAGTACGTTGGAGCCTGATGGCAGTTTATGGGGTAAACTTTATCAGGAAAACGCATTGAAAAGACATTTTAAAAATAATGTCAAGTTTAGGAAACCGGGAACAAACTCTGGACAATTCCAAGTCATTTACATTTGTAATTATTGAAACCAAATACCTTGTGGAACAATCCCTCTGGACTAGATCCCAGTCACCTCTTTCTAGAACTCCCTGTCCCCTTGTCATCTGGGAGCTCTAGGATCCACTCAACCAGCTATTGAAATGTATCAGATCAATGTGATATGTAAAACCCCTCAAGCTGAGGGTTCCAGAGGAGGGCTCCTCTTCCCGCTCTGAGGGTGGAAGTTAATTGCTGAGAGATCCCCAAGGACTAGTGAGGCTGGTGCATCTGCAGCTTGTAGTTTATTTCTACCTTCACTGTGAATATTCTCTTAATTACTTCACATCTTCACATCAGATGCCCCTGCCCTGCCGGGAGATGTCCCAGGGGATGGTTATGATGATGCCAGAGAAGTGTCTGTCCCTGAAGAGGACCCTGCTTTGGGGCAGAATGATGAACAAGGCACTGGGGCAAGTGACAGGGATTCACAGACAGGTGAGTGGAGAACTGTTTGCACTTCACAGTGTCTCTGCAGAGTGGGAGGGCTGGAAATGTGGGCCTCACAGCAAGGGAACAGCCCTGGCCAAACCAATGCCTGAAGGAAATCTTTCCTTCTCTCGTCTCTCCATTCCCTCAAATCAGAGGCATTAGTGCCTGCCATGGGGAGAGGAACAGCAGGGTCGTGGTCAAACCAGCAAGATACCTAGGATCCTTCTGCCTCTAGGTTCCAATCCTTGTGTGGCTGCCACACCCTGGATGTGCTGGATTCCCACCATTTCACTGCGCGTGTATCTTTTGGGCAGAATCCTATGAACCAAAGTCCTGTTGCTGCTGCACCAGTGTTAAAAAGCCCATGACACGTCCTGTAAAATCTGGGATTGCCTTTGCCCATTGTCCTTGGCCAATATCTCCCCTCTCTTCCCCATTGTGTTATGAGCAGAGACACCATCAGCCACCCCAAAGGAGGTGCAGTGGTGATGAAATGTGCATTGATTAGTACTTGATAAGAATAAAGTGCTAACATTCATTGCTAGGGCAGAGTGAAAGTTATGATGTTCTTCACTAAGCGCTCCTTGCTGGTAAGTGTTTGGGTTTTGTACATGAAGTGACAGGTAGTTACAGCTGGTACTTGGCAAGTTTACCTGCTCTGGAAACCAAAGGTTTTAATTTCCAGACTATGTATAGAGATGATGGATAACACTTGTCATAGATCCAAGACTGAAGCGGGAACAATTCCCAATCTGCACTGTAGAGCAGAGGTTCTCAAACTGGGCAGCGCAGAATATATTCTGGGGCGGCGTGAGAAGCCAGAGCACAGAGCGGTGGATCCTGTCTGGGTGCCCAGTTTTGAAGGCAGCACTGCCACCAGCAGCAATGCAGAAGTAAGGAGGTCATGGTCTGGTGTTGCCACTCTCACTTCTCCGCTGCTGCTGGTGGTAGTGCTGCCTTCAAGCTAGGCAGATGGAGAGCTCTTTTTCCTCTACTGTTTTTCATATTCAGTGAAAGTTGCATGTTAATTTTTTTTAATTGGTATATGTACTTGTGTGGTGGGGAGGGGAGTTGTCAGTTAGTACAGATGCAAAGAAAGGGGCCACAATCAAATAAGTTCGAGAACCACTGCTGTAAAGTGCACTCCACCTTGTTCTGCAGCCCAACATAACCATAGAATGGATCCACTGACTGTATGTCTCCTCCTTGGTATTTTCAGGTTGGAGTCTGCGCTCGCTAAGGGGTGAAGTTGTCTCTGGGATGGAGAAGGAAACCCCGTCCCTGCCTCCTGGAGACACAGGTTATGATGATGTGGGACACGGTGACTCTGGGGGTTCAATATCATAACAGTTTGATTGGACAAAATAACCCTGTGATGATGTAAATGCTTCGCCTCTTTCTCTCAGAAATGATGTGCCAGAGAAAATCCCTTCCTGGTAGATAGACAAAGCAGGTGTTTTAATAGGATTTGTGTGAAGTTGCAGGAAATACAAGAGTGAGTGGGAAAAGGTTCATAAGCTTTCTTTGTATAATTTTCCATTGTTTGGAGGGGGTGGAAGTTTCCTGCTTTTTTATGCCTATCATTTCTTCAGCTTGACTTTGCCTTTTTCATATTAAATCCTTTCTGAAAGTCTCCCCCTTAGTGGACGTTTTTCTTGCCAGATGAATTGTGCAGTTTCCAGGGCTCACCACAGGGAGAGGCTGAGATACAACAAACCAAGAGACAAGGGAAGGCACCTGTGGGTATGGCTGGCTGTTTGATAGCAGGCTGGGTTTACACATCAGGCATGTGGTAAAAGTGAGACACCAGCAAGAGAACATTCTGAGATGAGCAACATGCTTGTTCCTGAAGCGAATTCAGATTTGAAACTTTCATTGAATCCAAGGAGATAATTGGGAAATTCTCCCTGGGTAATTCACACCTGAAATTGAACAAACTGTGAAAAGATTTCCTGATTAGCAATAAATGCAGAGGATGAATATTTCTGCTAGGACTATAAATGAATTCTATTGAAAATAATGACTAGAGGAGGGTTAATAAGAATCTGGGTTTCCACTGAACCAATAAGGCTACAACTAGAAACCCCAGTAAAACCGATCATGTTCACACAGTGGCATGTTTATTTCCATGACAATCTACAAATATAGTTTAAAATCAATGCTGAGCTGAGAACTGACCAGTGGAGAAGCCAGAAGTGTTCTCTGGATGAACCCTCAGTGAAATCAGTACCAGAACACACAGAGAGTACATCACTGTTTCACACAAATGTCTGTCTTTCCTTTACCACAAATCCTGCATTCAGTTGGGTCAGTTCATCTCTAGAAGTATAGATTGGAAATAGAAATGTCAAGAGAAAGTGCTTCCAATCATCTGCATTCAGCAGGGCCAGGAGTCATATAAAGAGACAGAAATACAACCATTTACTTTTGAAAGGAGAAAAATAAAAAGACATTAGGAAGATGTGTAATAGGGCATACTGACCCTTGGAGACTGAGGAAGGAAATCTCAGGGGCTGTGCTACCCTGTTCCAAGGTTTCTGTCCTTAAGACAGATGTGTGGGACAAAGGAAATCACCACAGAGAGAAGAAGTGGGCCCATTGTGGGTGTTTGTTCTTTGGCAGGGAACCCAGGCTGCTGACGCTACCTAGGGACTGGGACTGGAGCCTTATAGAGGGAGTGGATGAAGGATCTTCTCTTCTATCAGGCTGAAGGAATCCTGGCAAATGTTCCTGGGTTTGGCCAGTCCATTCAGGGGGGGTCACATCACTCACAGGCAAAAAGAGGAGGAGAACTCCCCCTCTTATGACACATCTGTCCATGTTTCCCCACTTTCTTTTTTAAATTCATATGGGCCCACCCTTGCTGGCAATTCAGTGGGTTCAAATTTCATCAAACTCTATGGGGATTTGCATTGAGGGAATAAGGGAGTTTCCTAGCCCATGTCTTTCTGTCATGTTAGATCGCGATTCCTCCAGAGGACAGCTTGCTTACTTACCATATCAGCAATCCTGGGTCACCGGTGTGGTTAGAAGTTGATTGATGTTTGCCTGCATGTGTGTGTTCCCTCTGTGTGCCGCCCCAGCAAACCACCCAATGACCACAAGATCTGTTAAGGGACAAAGGCACCCAGCAAGGTTTATTGTTGACAAAACATGGTATTAGTATCCCACAGACTCTACCAGACCACTAATACATGTATGCCTGTAACAATGGACCAGCTCAGTGAATGGCAGGACTTTCCATTCCTCCCTAAACCAGACAAAGATACTCCCTCTGAGATACATTTTATACCCTGATACAAAAAAGTTACATATTACCTCTGGCATAGTTAGTTACTGCCCCTTGATGTGGCTCATTATTATCCATCACCTTGTACATGTTGGTTTGATTAAAACATCTTTATTACGTACTGTTATCCTGACCTTATCTTTTAGGAGAGTTCAGTGTGTTCCTGTTATCCTTGGGCAATGTTTTTGTACCATCCTTGATAGCAGGATGTTCTGGTACCACTTGATATTGAGATGTGTTTGTGTGAGTACTCTGTGCCTGGCATTTCTGAGAAATGTGTATTTCTGCAATATCAGCCCTGTTCTTGGCAGATACTGTGAGCAGGTCCTGCCTCTTGCTCACAGCTTGTCTTTGCTTTATATCAGTAAAGCTTTGACTACTACTTTAGCCTAGGCCTCAGGCCTCAGGCCTCAAACCAGGCCTCTGGTACAAGGGCTTATGTCTTAGACTCTCTTCCTAATACACCTGTAATAAAAGATTTGCTGGTACTGTTGATTCTCATGATGCAAAGTTTGTTGCTAATGGTTAACATTATAACAAATAATTTGGTACTGATGGTAAATCCTTTGTTCTGAGTGAGATTTGTACTTCATACACTGGAGGTGATTTTAAATGAGATTTAAGTGAGGTGGCTGGAAATCAGTCAAAGAGGTTACCAGTTTGTTATTTTCCGTTTGCTTATTTTGGGCACAGGAAGTAGGGACAGAAAATCAGGAAAATGAGTGAAAGTGAAACTAGTAAGGAGCTGGAGCTGTGCAGATTGCAGGCAGAAGAGAGCGAAAAAGAACACATGAGACTTATGGAATTAAAATGGCTGGAAATTGAGACAAAGAATGCCAGAGAATAAGCCGCACACAGAAGAGCCATGAAATAACAAGCCAAAGAAATGGAGGAGAAGGAAAGAGAGAGGAAGTATCAACTGGACTTGACAGAGAAGCAGAACCAAAGCCCCCATGCTCCAGTGAGTCTCATCTCTCAAAAAATCCACAAATGGGTACAGTTGTGTCCTGCATACAGCGAGACAGGGGACATTTCTGAATATGTCATCACCTTTGAGAGGCTGTGTGTACTTCACCAGATTCCTGAGGACCAGAAGATGCCCACTTTGGTTTCCAAATTGACTGGTACAGCTCTGGATATATTCAATAAGATGCCAATTGAGAATGCTTGAGATTATTGTAAATTCAAAGAAATGATTTTAAAACAGATTCAGATTATACCTGAAACATCTAGAGTAAAATTTAGAAGCCGTAAGAACGGTGTTGGGATGAGTAATGTGACATATGTAAACTAGATGAAAGATTTGATGGATAAGTGGGTAAAAGGAAAAGGTGTTACAAGCTTTGAGGGAATATGTGACCTTGTTGCTTAGTAACATTTCCTGAGTATATGTAAAGATAATGTAAAACAGTGTTTATGGGACTAAAAAGTGAAAACCGTGGAAGAACTGGCTACTGTAGCTGATCAGTTTGAGCAAACTCAAGCATCTGCTGTGTGGAAGGGGAAACTGAGGCACACTGCCTCATGACATTGATGGCTAAATGCCAAGATTCCTGCATTCTAAAAGATATTGATATCAGCATTATGTTAACAATGCTGCATACAAAAATGTTTTCAGACAACCCAGAAAAAGGAACACAGAACTTTGCAAGAACACCTGTGGGTGACACTAACATATTTGGTACTGCTTGGAAGTAGTATGGTGAAAACCTAAAGA